ATATAGTGGTAATGAATAATTAGAGGCTAAGTGGATTAAGTTAGGGTATTAAGAGGAGATTAAGGTATAAAGGTATAAAGGTATAAAGAAGAGTTAAGAGAACAAACAGCATTGTATTCAAGATACTGCCAAGATTGGTTATAAAGGGAATTGAGTAGATTTGAATTAAGTTGAAAATTAATTAAGAGTACTGTAAACTTGAGTAATATGACAAGCACTACAACGACAACATTGAGAACAGGAAAGAAAACAACATCAAGCCCATCACTGACACCCTTATCCCCATCTGTCAGAGAACATTTGAAGGAATGCTGGGGACAGAAAAACAGAGCGTAATATCAAACATGCAAACTATGCAGACAACATTATTGGCCATTCAGGAAACGATGATGAAGATGCAGGAAACAATGTATAAAAATCATATAGAATTGAAACGAGATATGATTAAATTGGACAATAAGATAGAGATGATACAACAAACAATTGAGAAAAATGAAGAAAGAATAAAAACAGTGGAAGTGGGTCAGAACAAATGGAAAAAAAAGTTGACGTAGTAGACAAAAAGTTGATGGCAATGAACAAGGGACTCAAAGAATCAATTATCCACCTGGAAATAGAGAGAGCTGCATTCTATCTAAGATTCCAGAATATAATGGAAGAAAAGGAAGAAGACTTGGGCACTATTATGGCAAGGCTGATAGTGGGAGCATTACAAAGGGATAGGCAAGAAATATTATTGGAGATCAACAACGCGTACTGAATTCACACAAACTACGCTAGGCACAATAGACTGCCATGAGAAGTTCATATAAAATTTGAGAGAAAGAAAGTCAGAGACATAATTTATAAGATTACGAGAGATGACCCAATGATTTATAACGATAAAGAAATACAAACACGTTTTAATCCCGAAGAGAAGAGACTATAGGTTTCTCGGTGCTCAGCTGATTAAAAGAAATATACTATTTAGATGGTTAATCCCAGAAGGGATGTTGGTATCATGGCAGGAGAGAAAGATCAAGATAGACAATATAGACAAGGCACAAGAACTCTATGATCAGCTGGAGGGGGTAGAAGAAGAGAGCAGTAGCAAAGAGGAATTAGAATCTAGAAGTCAGGAAGACCAGCAATGGGAGCTAAAAGAAATAGAACTGGAGATAGAAATCAAGGAAGAAAAGGGACAAAGGGAAGGAGAAGGAGCGGGTTTGAGAACACGACCACAAAGAGATGTTAGAATCAATAGAAGATAGAAACCAATATATAAGTAGAACAATGGAAGAAGAAATTAGGGTAATATCGATTAATGTTAACAGATTAAATGCCCCTGCTAAAAGAAAACAAATACTAACAAAATTAGCAAAACAAGGTATAGATATAGTGTGCCTACAAGAGGTACATATAAAAGAGCAGCATAGAAAATGTTTGGAATTCCCGAAATTAGGAACACTATACACAGCATTAGTGGAACAAAAACAGAGGGGAATAGTGGTATATATTAGGAAGGGAATAAATTAAATTAAATTAAAATATCAAGATATAGATGGAAGAGTTTTAATGATAGAACTACAAATTGGGCAGAAATCATGGTTGTTGGTGACAATTTATGCCCCAAATGAGAATCAAAAAGAATTTTACAGCAAATTACACGAAAAACTTATAGAAATGGAACAGGGAAATATTTGCATGGTAGGAGACTACAATGCGGTGGTGAACGAAAAAAAGGACTATGTTAGCAGTATGAAAAATAAAAAGTAATGAAAAATACTACCAGGATCATTCTTTGATATGGTACATGAACTCAATTTATTCGATCAGTGGAGGGAATTGAATCCAAAAAAAAAAAGGGGGAATACACTTTTTTCTCGAACCCACATAAATCCTGGTCCTGATTAGATATGGCATGGATGAATGGAGATGTAGGAAAGGATATAGAAACAATAGAAATAATGCCAAATACGTGGGCTGACCACAACCCCTTAAAAATAATTTGGAAAGGACAGAAAAAAGTTAGGAGAAGGTGGACACTGAATCCCCAAATTTTAAAGGAAAAAGAATTTATTTTAAATATTTAAAAAGAAATAGAATTATTTTTTTACAGAAAATACAAAACAACCAACATCATTACAAATTATATGGGATACAGCTAAAGCGTAGCTAAGGGGCATATATATAGCTTTTATATATATATATATATATATATATATATATATATATATATATATATATATATATATATATATAAGCAAAAAAGCAAATGCAAAATACACTGCAGGAGGAGATTAAAAAATTAGAATCTAAATTAGAAAGGGAGCCCCAGGATGAAAAAATTAAAGGGAAAATGGTTCTGGCTAAACATAAACTAAATATAGTGGAGCAAGAGGAAAGGGCAAAGGAATTGAAAGCGGCAAAACAAAAAATTTTTGAACATGCAAAAAAGCCCGGGAGGTGGCTAGCCTGTAAATTAAAAAACGATAGGGAAAAAAGATTGATTCAGGAATTACAGGATGAAAATGGAAAGTTACATTACAAAATGGAAAACAAGAAAAAAATAATCCAGAATTACTTTGAGGTGCTATACAAAAAAGAAGAAATAGACGAGGAGAACATAAAACAATATTAAAGGTTAATGGTTTGCCGGAACTAAAAGAAGAACAGAGGGAAATATTAAATAAAGAGATAACAGCCACAGAATTAAGAAGAGCAGTGCAAAAACAAAAAAGTAATAAAACCCCGGGGCCAGATGGACTTCCAGGGGAGGTATATAAGAGTTTGTATGAGGATTTTGAAATGATACTACTGGAAGTGTATAATGATATATTGGAGAAGGCCAAATTACCAGACTCCTGGACTGAAGCTTATATATCTCTTATTCTAAAAGAAGGTACAGACCCCAAACAAATAAAAAATTTGGCCAATCTCACTGTTGAACACAGATTACAAAATTTTTACTACTAGAATTGCAGAAAGATTGAAATTAATATTAAATGAAATAATACATTGGACCAAAATGGTTTTCTACCTACAAGGCAAATTAGGAACAATATAAGAACAGTGTTAAATGTCTTAGAGTACTATGAAGCACATCCTGAAAAACAGGTGGCACTAATATTTTTAGACGCCCAGAAAGCATTCAATAATCTTAATTGGTAGTTTTTGTTCCAACAGATCAAAGATATGAGATTTGGAGGGAAGTTCGAGAAAACAATAAAGGCGATATACACGACACAAACAGCTAGAGTGATAATTAATGGGGATAACACAGAGAAATTCGAATAAAGGAGTAAGACAGGGATGCCCAATGTCACCTCTGCTTTTCATCTTGACATTAGAAGGGCTGCTAACCCAAATTAGATACAATAGAGAGATAAAAGGACTAAAGGTAAAAAAAGAAGAATATAAGACAGAGGCATTTGCGGATGACCTAGTTTTCTTCATAGAAGAGCCGCTGGAAACAGGAAACACCTTAATGAATGAAATAGAAAAATTTGGGACAGTGGCAGGACTGAAAATTAATAGAGAAAAGATCAAAATGTTAGTAAAAAATTTAACTGAAAAAGAAAAGAAAGAATTAGAAAAAGATTTGGGATTGCAAATTGAAAAAAAGATTACATATTTAGGAATTTGGCTCACTGTAAGGTGTTCTTCAATAAAAGATGATATTTATAAAAAACTGATATAACAAATAAAAAAGATTTAAAGATTTGGGGAAAATTACAGTTATCACTACTAGGAAGGATAGCAGTGGTTAAAATGAATATATTGCCAAAATTATTATATCTATTCCAGACAGTCCCTATAAAATTGTAAAGGAGATTCTTTGAGGAATTAAATAAAATAATTAAAAAATTTATTTGGCTAGGTAAGAAAGCACAGATAAATATGAAAATGTTACAAGATAGTATTACGGTCTTTGACTAGCCTTTACAATTAAAAAAAACCACAGTAAAAAGAACAGTTTAATACAACAATTAGTTGTTAGAGAAGAGAAAAATAATGGGACAATAAAGCAGCATGCCTAATTTAAAAAAATTCTGAACGTGTGACTTGGTAAAAAAAAAATTGGCCACCTGATGTGTAAGTGTAGATGCCCCTTAAAAAATAATAAACATAAAATTTATCCATATCCATATAATATATAATAAACATAAAATGCATGGCCCTCATAGTTGCAAATGATTGGTGCAATCAAAGCACATCTTAGGGCATTGTAGACACCAAAGTCTAAGTGATTTAAAGTGAGGCGAAACAAGGTACTAGGTAAGGATGCACATTTCTCTGCTGCTCTCACTGCTTCATATTTGTTTAGATTTGCAATTCCTTTAGTCATATTGAATTAACACTGTATCAAAGCAAGCTTATTCTAAGCATATGCTAGGTTCTAGCAATCACTTCATGTTTAAAAGGTGTGGTATGATTTGTGGCACTTTTTTCAGATCCCAGACCAAAAAATGAGTAGCAATGGTTTAAGCAGTGATCTGAACAAAAATCTAACTGACCCAAATAGAATGAATGTTCATCAACAAAAATTCTAATGTGACTATACTATTTAGCAATCAATATTGTAGCTGGTCTGCATTCATATACAAAGTAGTCTGTTTGCTAAAAGTTTATGTGTAGATTCTAATTTAATGTTCTGGCCTAAGAAAGAAATGCCCAGTATTTATTCAATATATAATATCATCATCACTTTTGTTAATTTTATTCCATTTAGCCTTTAAGATCACTTTGAAAAGGAATTTTGAATCTTAAAAAATATAAGTATGGACACAAAAACTCATTATGTATGTTCGCAAATTATTTAGTAATATTTATAATAACCTGCATTCTATAGTGATCTATTTTATATGCACAAAACACATTTATCTCAGCAGAATAATGTAACTTCTGTTTGTTTATTTATTCATTTATTTAATGTCTACGCTGACCATCTCACCTAAGTGACTCTGGACAGTTTACAACATTCTTCTACAATATAGATAAATATACTGGATAATACCTACCACCCATGTTATTGTCAGTTCTCTATTGCTTCCACCTCCTCCTCCAACCTCAGAAGGGGCCACATTTGGAGCTGAATAATAGAAAATAATGATAATAAAGATCCATCTGCTTCCATGAAATAAAAACATCATTAATTTCTCCATTATTAATTATATGCATTTGAGATATGTCTTGCACAATTTTAGGCATTGAATAATGAAATATAGACTGCTACCAGCATAAATCTGCCAATTTTCTTCAGTTACTGAATTTACACTTTTCCACACTGAATAGTTTCTCTTTGGAGACCATGGGTAAGCAGATACTAGAAGGATATATTGTTCTTAGCTCAAGAGTTTATACTTAATGGATAATATTTTGAAATCAGATAATGTGCATGCTTATATTTTATGGCTTGCTTACAGTAGCCTTCCCCTCAAAGTAAGATCTTCCTGAAGGGGTAAAGTAGAACATCATTTTCAATCAGTATGGACATAGAATGTGCCTAATGAGAAATTTAGTTTTACCCATCTGGAAATACAGAGTTGGAGAAACCTGACCCACAAGATAGTTTGCATTATATTTGCCATTTGACAAATGATATTTATTTGATAATGATAATCTATTTATGATTACTATAATATACATAATAAAGAATCAAAGCTGAACTGGCTAGGCCTACTTGCCTCTGATGCACCCGTCTTCTATTCATGAAGACTTTGTAATTCAACATCAACACATCTGGAAAGTAGCAGGATAGGAAATGCTACATTTAAATACTAGATTCTAGATATGCTTTGAACTATCCTAAAAATAAAAATGTCATCAAAAAGTCTAAAGGCAAGAAGAGTCAGAGTGGTAGGCTAGAAAAAGAGACTAACTCAAATTGTGTATCATTTTCACAGGTTAAGAGCCTGGCTAAAGAAGAATACTGAAAAGCAGGTCAACCCTGGACAATGTAACAATTTATTTATACTAGAGCTGAGTGCAACCAGAAAAAGCAAGATGCAACGTGAAATGTCAGTTCCAGCCAGGCATATCATCACCCCTACAAGAAAATCCATCTGATAAATCTGATATTTCAAATAACAGTACCAAGCCTCATATATCTTTGGAAGGTATATGCAAGTTTTACTGTTTGTGACTGCAGCAGAGGCTTTTTAGAACTGGAACTAGATAGAAACCCTGCCATCCCTGACAATGCTGGAAACAATAGGGAGAGATAATATTCAAAAAGACTGATGCAGGGAGATGAAGCTTTGCAGAATTATATTCTGACCAAATCAAGGCTGTACACTTTTACCTGCATTTGGATATAGAATATAGAGATTGTGTTAAGGTTGCCCAGATGGTTTGTGCCTAGTTGGAGCAAATTTATCTATGGTGTTCAAAGTCTCTTCAACATTGTTGATACTTGAGCTGATATCAATTACTGCATACATCTCACTCCTTCAAACACTGATTCTTTGCAGGAATTGTAATACTACCTTTGTTTAAGATTTTTCAACACTAATTCAACAATTCTGGTTTAATTTACTGTTTTACAACCTGGTTTAATACAGACTGACTGACTGGCTGGCTATTCCATTTAACCCTGTTAGAATCTGGCAATATGTGAGAACTTCTTTAGCCAAGGGCTAATACAAGAAAACCACATTCTTTGGGACAGCTGCACTTGTTATACAATGCAGCATCCATTGAGTCAGTTTATTGCTTAAACTCCTCCTGCCTCATTCTCTAATTTGCCTAAAATATCAAGTTTTTCACACACAAAATGGGAAAGGAATCCAGAGATATTTACATTACTACATTTCTAATATGAAGTGATGTGTTCCTGAATAACCAATATTGGGTTGAGAGCTTTACCAATTTGGGAATTAAATAAACATTTTATTATTATTTTCTTGTCTTGAAGAAGAACTCTTAACAAATTTCACTGACTTTGTGAGGATGTTTGAAAATTCTTCTTCAAAGGCTAATACAGATAGACCTTCAATGTTTACAAGAGGGGCATAAGTCTGTGTTGAACTACTATATACCTGTGCTTTTAGATTAAAGGCTGAATGAACCAGCATTAGTGGTCCAATTTCAGGAAAGCCTAATTGATGATGTGTATTAGGAAGAGGCAAGACAATGCCTATTTTAACTACTCATGTGGTTCTATTAGTATAAAATCAGCTGGAGGGTTGGGATTCAGTTGAGAAAATGCCTATATATACACATATGTACATACCCACATACTGTTATTTAAATAACATACTATTATTTTAAAAACTTTGCAACTGAGTCTGCAGTAACAGAGTCCATGATGCTGGGTGGAACACACCTATGATTTTCCAAAAAAAAGAGAAAAGATGTAAAAAGGAAGCATGACTGAAAAGGAAGCATGTGCCTTATTATGAGCTGCCAAAACAAACTCTATTGTATCTTTCAGAAAGATATGAATCTTTTTCTTGCTAATATTTGCACATTTTCAGTTTTCTACTCCTGTAATACTCAGAGAGATGAAGAGTTTTCCTTGATAGTTTCAGAGGCCTCTAACAATTTCAGGCACTTGGAACTCAATTTCTACCCACAAATTAGGTCAAATGTGGATGCAGACTGTGGCAGTTGTCCATAGGCTTTGGATTCTATAATCCTGACCTTTGTAATTATGATTCAAGTCCATATTAAGTAATTACAATTTTATGTAACCGAAGTTCATCCTTTTCAAATGATTATGTAATGGTTCAGTCATCTTCCAACGCTTCATAAACAAATGTGCTATGAGATTTCATAGATTAGTTCTATGAAATAGAACTAATCTATGATTAGCATATCATAGGCATATCATAGTGATCTTCTAATATATTTCAGGAATATTTAAGAATACTAATGAAAACAGTTTAACAATGGCAAAATCATCAACTTTAGTAGATACATAAAAATATTTTTCCTGTGTTTGATTTCTGTAGTTTTTGTATTTTAAAATTAGACATGAACCCAGATTAGGAACAAGCTATATGTGAGAGATTTAAAAGTTCTGGTTTGTTCAACTATCCCCTACAGCCTTGGTGCATGCTAATAATCCTTTAATTTATGTAATACAAAGCCTTCCAGCAGGCTAAGAGTCTATCATATCAAATCCCACCCTGAAACATCCATATCCCAGTATATTACTTCTGATAAAAAGGAATGTATCTGGAGCAATGCTGCTATACCTATACCATTTATAAAAACTCAGTCTAGCTGAAATGAAATGGGATAAGGAATTTGTAGTCATCAAAGAAGTTTTAGAGTGAGCGAAGAACCCAATGCAGCCCCATTCATCACATGAAACCTTGGAAAACCTCTAAATTGTAAGGAAACTCAGTTAAGACTGATTTTTTGTATCCCCCCCCCCAGATTATATTCTTTTAACTGGAAGAATTGAAAGGAAGATGCCTTAACACACACATGGGAGGAGTTGGTGGATGAAAAGTATCCATGATTTTATGAGTGGAAAATTTTGCAGCTTGGACAATTGCAGCTTGGACAATTTGGACAATCATCAGTCCTAGCCTATGAAATTTAAAATAACCAACAACACATGTCTTACACAGAATAAAGTAAAACAACAGAAGGATGCTTTTAGCCCAGACTCTATTTTCAGTTCAATAAAAGATCCTGCTTTAATGAGGTTCAATCTATTTGTCATTCAATGAATTTAGAGGGTATGTCCTGCAGGTGTGCTCTATCAATCTGAAAGGAGAACATTTTATTCATTCAAGATTTAACACATTTTCTGATATTTCTGGGGTGCTTGTGTAAAGGCAGAAGTGCAGCATTACATGGAAATATAACTTACGTACACACAAGAGATTGAAGAACTCATTATTTAAGTTTACAAATTTATTAATACTTTTGGAACCCTGGGAGGTAATCATTTTGGACTTCTCCCAATGCACAAAGGATTACATTCCTACATACATTACTTTCTAGTTATAGTAAACCTGTTCTCAAAAATTAGTCATTTTCTTTCTTCTTTGATCATATGTGATCTTAGAAGCTAGCTCAATTACAGTATCACTTCACAATGTTTGGAAACTATGAGATCTATGAAACTACTGCCATATGAGATCTCATAATTGGAATAGGGGTGCATAGTTCACTATGTGATTCTGGGAAAACTTCTGTAGGCAGAGTTGCTCTTTGCATTGTCCATTTTCCCAACTCAAACTGCACTGACTGCACAAATTGACCAAATCAAAGACATGCTTGAACAGTGCTTAAGATGCTGTGTCTGTTACTAAGAAGATTCAGGTGGTTCAGATTGAAGGAAATTGGAGCAGAGCACAATTACAACAGCTTTGCAGATTGTTGATAGTAATAAGAATTATCCTTTCAAATGGACCAGAAAGTGTGTATGTCCATAATCATCTGCTTGTGAAAAGTCAGGCAGGAACCTAAATACATTATACCATTCTGTCATGGCCCAAATCAATCCAATGGAATTCAAGCTCTTGCTGTACATTATTCATATTATACCATTTCTTTCTCTTCCCAGACTATCTGGTGCATTCAATGTACCCCAAATTGTATGACCACCACCACTGCCATTCCAGGTCAAGTGACAAGAGGAAAATGAGGTGAATAAGATCTTGGATTTGTAGAAATCTATCTCTGTAGGGGAAGGAGGTAATGTTGGGAATACTCAGAAAAACCAGGTCACATTCAAAAGCAGAGGAAATGCTGCATGCCAAATATGTCATTATTCTCAGAAGAGCTTCCACCATTCCTGACACTTAACCTGAGCATTTGCATCTGGAATTATAAGTAAGGTTTTGTCATTTTCAAGAACATAAAATAAAGATAAAGGTTTCCACTGTTCAATTGTTTTTGACTCTAGGGGGCAGTGCTCATTCTCATTTCTTAGCCAAAGTAGTATGCATTGTCTGAAGACATTTCCATGGTCATGTGGCTAGCATGACTATATGCCGAGGTGCACAGAAAGCTGTTATCTTCCACAGAAATGGTAGCTATTTATCTATTCTCATTTGCATGCTTTTGAACTGCTAGGTGGGTAGGAGCTGAACCATCGCACAGCATTTGGGTCTTCCACCTGACATGTTC